CTGAGCCAGCGCCTAGCCGGCGCGCCCGCGCCCAAGGCCTATGTGCTTGGCAGCCCGGCTCTGGCCGCCGAGCTGGAGGCCGTGGGCGTCACCAGCGTGGGCGTGGGGCCCGAGCCACTGCAGGGCGAGGGTCCCGGTGACTGGCTGCACGCGCCGCTGGAGCCCGACGTGCGCGCAGTGGTGGTGGGCTTTGACCCGCACTTCAGTTACATGAAGCTCACCAAGGCCCTGCGCTACCTGCAGCAGCCCGACTGCCTGCTCGTGGGCACTAACATGGACAACCGGCTTCCGCTGGAGAACGGCCGCTTCATCGCGGGTCCGTGCGCCCTGGGGCGGGAGGCTGGGGGGCGGGCGGCGGGCCCCCTTCCCGCCCTTTGACCCGGTCCCCTGTGCCCCGCAGGTACCGGCTGTCTGGTCCGAGCCGTGGAGATGGCCGCCCAGCGCCAGGCCGACATCATCGGGAAGCCCAGCCGCTTCATCTTCGACTGCGTGTCCCAGGAATACGGCATCAACCCCGAGCGCACCGTCATGGTGGGAGACCGCCTGGACACAGACATCCTCCTAGGCGTCACCTGTGGCCTGAAGACCATCCTGACCCTCACCGGAGTCTCCACTCTAGGAGATGTGAAGAATAATCAGGAAAGTGACTGCGTGTCTAAGAAGAAAATGGTGCCTGACTTCTATGTTGACAGCATAGCCGACCTTTTGCCTGCCCTTCAAGGTTAAAGATTGGGTGTCTTTAATCTCCAGAATAAAAAAAAAAAAAATTGAAAACCAGTTACCCAAATTAATAGGTGGGGCTTAGGCATCTGTTCTGCTAAGTGGCTTCAAGGAGTGTAATTGGAGTTAAGCAAAGGCATTCATTGTTAACCTTGTAAGTACACGTTTGGGAGACGATTTTGTTTACAGATGCTTGTAATCGAAGATGCACTTTTAGGCTTGGAAGGCATTGTGGCGTTGGGGGGGGGGCAGGCTCAGCACCTGTCCGGGATTCAGGTAACCGAGGCAGGTCTAGGGGTGTGTGTCCTGTATTTTATGGAAAAACTCATTCAGGGATCCAGCCCCTCGGGGTGGAGGGACTGATTATTCTGACTATTGGGAGAGGCTTGCATGGACCAGGGTCCCATCAGTGTGACTGGAAGTCCGGCGGAGCCTTCTGTGTTCCTGTGCCTCCCGGCAGGGAGAGAGTGGAGGAGGCTGCTCCCAGGTGGCATCTCTCTGCCACTGGGTACAAAGTGCTGCCCTCACCACCCTCCCGCCTCCCCTACTTCCTTGAAAACCACTCTGATGTCACAACTGAGTGTCTGTTCCGTTTCAGATACCCAGGGCTGCTGCCCAGTTCTGCAAATGCGGCCCAGCTAAACCTCTTGCCGTCTCAAGTGTGCATTTAAACCCAGGTGATTTGGACTGAGCAGCCGCGATGGCGTGAACGCCTTCGCTGAACTCGGGGCTGCAGTGCAGGGAGCTCAGAGCAGTGCTGCTACCAAACAGTTTTTAACTTTGAACAACTGTGTCAGGCAATGGAGTTGAATCTTAAGTGTGTTAATAGCTGTGCTCTGTGTCGTAGGGAAAATCCCACTGAAGGAGCCTCTGTGCCCTGCAGCCAGTAGCACGGCTGAAGCATGTGTTGGCTGAGGAATGCCTGTCATCCAGGTGCCCTGCCTTCGGCAGCTCGGCTGAAGCATGTGTTGGCCTAGGAATGCCTGTCAGTCATCCAGGGCTCTGGGAGGGGAGGGGAGGAGAGTTGTGTCCCCGAGAACAGCAAGTCCTTTACAAAGCATCCAGTCTCTTCCAGTCCTCCCATTCCCTAGGTTGGGGTAGGGGTTAGAGGCTGGTGGCCCAGGAGGTCACCTGCCTTGCCCTGGATTCCCTCTTCAGTGGCCAGGAGGAGGACTTGGCAGGGCCACCAGCTCGCCAAGGTTCTGGGCGGGGCTCTGGTCTCTCCTGCCTGCTCCTTTGCTCTGCTGACCTTTCACAGGCCTGACAGCAGACTCAGCAAGGCCATACCAGGACACTCACCTTCTGGCTGGCTCCCTACCAGCACCTTGCCCAGCAGCTTCTCTCTTGGCCCCATAGTCACAACACTCCACTTGGTCACAAAGACTTCAGAGCAATAAGGGGCGTCCTGAGCCTTCAGCACCTCCCAGGCCTGGGATGTCAGGTTTAGAGGGTGCTGCGGAGCAGCATGAGGGCGGCTGTGCCCATGAGGCTGGTGGCGCTGACGCTGGCTTGGCTAGGTTGGCTCAAGCCGGGTCTGGCCTGGCAGGGTGCAGTCACACCAAGAGTGCGTGGCAGGTGCAGCCTCGGTGATGCCTCTCTTGCCGGGTGGGGGCTAGGAGTCCCTGTGCGCCCTGTCTCTAGCCCATGAGGGGCTGCGGCACTGTCTGCACCAGAGCACAGATTAAACTCTCAAACCCACACTGGCTCGGGTGTCCTTGCTCTCGCCTTGCATTGGCCCGGGCGATGCCGTCTCGCCGCGGGTGGGAGGATTCAAAGTAGATGGGTAGCTGGGGTTCCAACTCTGGAGCTGGAATGGCAACTGCCCACTCCTGGCCTGGGTCAGAGGAAGATGTTCTGGAGAATGAGGGAAAGCCAGGCACAAAGGGAAACCAGGGAAGGAAAAGGCCTCAGAGTGAAGCTGGTGGGCTGCCATGGCAGAGAGCCCAGGGCAGGGGGCAGAGCTCAGAAGTAATTCTGGGCCGGGCGCGGTGGCTCACACCTGTAATCCCAACACTTTAGGAGGCTGAGGCAGGCGGATCACTTGCGGTCAGGAGTTCAAGACCAGCCTGGCCAAAATGGTGGAAACCCATCTCTACTAAAAATACAAAAATTAGTGGGACATGGTGGCATATATCTGTAATCCCAGCTACTCAGGAGGCTGAGGCGTGAGAATTGTGTGAACCCAGGAGACAGAGGTTGCAGTGAGCCGAGATCACGCCACTCCACTCCAGCCTAGGGGACACAGCAAGACTCCCATCTCAAAAAAAAAAGTGCTGGGCGGGCCCCCGAGGCTGGCCTGACTATTCTGGGGGCACAGGCACAGCAGGCTGCCTGTCTGTGGTCCAGCCTTCAGGAAGCCCCTGGACTTGGGTGTGTGGGGACTGGGAAGTGGCTGGGGGTGCATAGTCCCACACCTGTCATTCACTGAGCAGGCATTTATTGACAGCTTGTGGTGTGTCAGGCCCTGTGCCCAGCTCTGGGAGTCAAGGGTAACCTGAGAGACTCAGGCCACTTTAGGAAAACGAAATCCACCCCAACCACACTTAGTGAGTCGCCCTGGCCGGGCCTGGACTGCCCTCCAGTCGTTCAGCTGGACTGGATTTCTACTCAGCCCAGCCCTATGCCTCCCAGACCCTGATCTCTAGTCTGCACAGGCCAGGTGTCTGGAGCCGGGCCTGGTGACAGGCATCCCCCAGGTGGGAGGAGGGGACTGTCCTGGCTCTGACCTGGATATCAGATCCGGAGCTGAGGGAGAGGCGCAGGGTTAGGAGGGGAGGCGTTCTGAGTTTCCCCGGCCAAGGCTGCAGACAAGGGGCGCAGACAATCGGCACATTGTGAGCAGGGGCTGCAGGATGAAGCCAGCGAACTGCCGCGCTGAGCGCCCCAAACCTGGGCCTACAGGGGTGAGTGCCTCCCATCACTCCTGCAGCAAGGACCCAGGGGGTGCCCCCGGCCACCCAGCCCCTCCCTTCCCCAGCCCACTGGCTCCCTGATCTCTAAACCCCATGACCCTTCTGACCCTAATGCGCCCCCAGGTGAAGACCAAGCCCACCTGTGGGGGCTGGAGAGCCACGGGCCTATCCCTGCTGCTGCTGCTCCTGGCACTGGCCACTGCGGGAGCTGTGGCTGGAGGGCTTCTTGGCTTCGCTCAGGGCCCTCCCAAGGTGAGCCCCTCCTCAGCACCAGGGATGTGGACAGTGAAAAGGGGAAAGGGAAGCTGGCACATCCCAGCCTCCAGCAGAGCCAGGGTGCAGAGCAGGCAGTGACCGCCTAGGAGCAGACGGCCAGAGGTGGAAGGGCCCACTCGGGGATGTCAGGAGTCCTGCAGCCCAGAGCTGGCGGCTGTGCTGGGGTTGTCCAGCTGCCCAGCTGAACTCCAACTCCCACTGCCAGCCAAGGCTGCAGACGCTGCGAATGACCCTCCCAAGCCCCCACATGCCCCGGCCCAACCAAACCATCCTGGTGGACGTGGCCCGGAACGCAGCGACCATCACAGTGACCTCACCTCAGAGCAACCACAGCTGGGTGGTGCTGTTCGACGGGCAGAGCGTGAGTGGGCAGGGAGGGGTCACGTCACCCTTGCAGGTGTCGGTCGGGGTGGCCCTGCCTCACCTCCCTGCCTCCCCAGGGCTGCATCTGTTACCGCCCCGAGGAGCACCAGGCCTGCTTCCTCCGCCTGATGGAGGACAGTGATCGGGAGACCCTGCGGCTGCTGATGGATACCTCCAAGGTGAGCCATCCTGCTGGGCACAGCCCCCCACCAGGGGCTAGACAAAGGGTCCTGTGTGCTGCTGGGCACAGGATAGGCTGGAGCTCTGGTTTCAGGGAACAGGAAGCTCTCTCCACCCTGAGCCCAGGCTGCTGACAAGAGCAGAGGGTGGGGACATCACTGGGGGTTGGGGGGTATCCAGCCCCGCCCAGCCAGGAGTAGGGAGCAGCCCTGTCCCACAGCCCACCAGAGCCTTCTCAACAGGTCCAAGAGCCTCGGGGCCCTGCCCAGGACACCCAACACACCCAGGAGCTGCTGGCAGTGCAGGGGAGCCACGAGGTGGACCCTGCCCAGGTGGGGGATTTGGTGCAGCGCCTGTGCACAAGGACCCCCATCTACTGGGCCCGGCGAGCAGAGGGTGAGTCAGGGCCGCTGTGGGGGGAGGCCAGGCCCTCGGGATGGTTTGATGAGCTGGGGGCGGAGCCCTTGGGGATTCACGGCACCCTCGCCACAGGGCCCCGGAGACAGCGGCTGATTTATCTGTGCATCGACATCTGCTTCCCAAGCAACATCTGTGTGTCAGTCTGCTTTTATTACCTCCCAGACTGAGCCCCGACCTGGCCCAGCCCGGTCCCTGTCCCCAATCCAGCGGGCTGGCCAGGTCACCCGCACCAGGGAGGATAGCTGCCGGCAGGGACTAATAAACCCTTCCACCTGGCCACAGTGGTGTTCTCTGTGGACTAAGGCCCTGAAACGCGGCAGGGAGGGGACAGGAAACACACTAGCTTAGGGGTGGGCACCAGCCTCACACCCCTCAGCAGCTTTGGGCCCTTGGCTGACTCCCAGGCAGTGCAGGCTAGCCCAGTCCAGGAGTGTGCAGCCTGGCTTGGGTCGAGCTGTCACATCTGGATAAGCAACTGGGGGCTGAGAGTCCCAGGGCGGCCTGGCCCAGCAGGTCAAGGTGCCACAGGGGGCCATCAGGTCCAGCTGGTGTAGGCCGGCAGTAGGGCCTGTTCTGACCTGGGTGCTGCATGGGACCCTCCAGCTGCCACCACCTGCACCAGGCAGTCCTGAGGGGTCACAGGCTAGCCCAGCACACTGTCGTTGAACGCCAGGCAGACGACAGCCTTCTGGTGGCCGCCATACTCTCTCTTGATCTCTCCAGTCTCCACACACCAGAGCCGGGCCAGGTTGTCCGAGGAAGCTGGAGGGGGAGATTGGGCAGGGCTCAGAGCAGAGGTGCAGGCCAGGCAGGTGGCCCTAGCAGAGGGGGAGCCGCAGCCAAGGTGGGCTGGCTCTGGAGGCCAGCGCTGGGAGGCCAGGGATGGGGAGGCCGGGCGGGGCTCACCAGTGACGATGTACTGGGAGTCCCCCGAGAAAGCACAGCCCCACATCCAACCACGGGAGGACTCCCCGGGGTTGCCGCTCTTGATGCTCAGCTCCGTCATCAGGGAGAAGTTGGATGTCCTCCAGATCTTGCACGTCTGATCAGCCGAGCAGGTGGCAAGGAGCCTGGGGTATGGGCGTGGGGGCGTGTCCAGCAGCAGCCACTCCACCCAGCAGCCCCTCCCGTCTCCAGCCCTCAGCCCAGGCAGGTCCCCTCTCGGGCCAGCAGGCCCTGCACGCACGTGGAGTCGGGGCTGAAGCGGCACTGCAGGGCGTAGCGCGTGTGGGCGGGGATCTTGGTCTTGGGGATGAGCTGGGTTACCTCGTCACCAATGCCCCCCGTCAGATTCCAGACATAGCAGTTTCCCTAGAGGTCAGGAGGACCGTCACGGGGGACCCGAGGCCTCAGGTCTGAGACACAGGGAAGGATGCCCTGGGGGCCAACACTGGGGTTCAACTGTGCATGGGGACCCTGGGTCGGGGCGGACAGGCCCCTCTGGTCCTGCCTGCAGGAGGCACCTGGGTAGCCTGGCCCTAACCAAGGGCCACACATGGCAAGCCAAGAACAGGAGGCCACACCTGGCCAAAGACTCAAATTCCCCTTCCTGGAGGATGCCGATGGCCAATGGAAGTACACGGGAGAGGGCACCAGCTAGAGGGACAACATGACAAAGGCCAGGAGAAAGGAAATCCGGGGGCAAGAGGGACAAGTGACACGCTGGGATTAAATGGAGTTAACGGAAAAAAATGAGGTTGGAGAGAAGAACAGGGGCCACACCACGGCAGCCTAAGGGCAAGGCCAGTAGCCCTGGGTCTCCCCAGGGGAATGATGCCACCTGGCTGGTACTGACGAGGCACCACTAGAAGCATCCAAGAGAGAACGGGTCAGGGGCCGGGGGAGGTCAGGGAGGAGGAAAGGAGGCCTCAGAGAGTGTGTCAGCTGTCATGGGAAATGAGGGTGACTGGGACCAGGAGGCAACAGAGAGAAAAGAGGAAAGTGGACCGACTTGGGAGAGACTCCAGAAAGCGGAGCGACCGGCCTGCAGACAGGGCCAAGGCATTGGGAGCGACATTCACGCTTCTGGCTTTGCTGGCAGGGTGGGTGTTAGTGCCTAGGATGGCGAAGCAGGAGGGGGGCACTAAGGGACATCCAGGAATAAGCCCACCTGCAGAGGCTAAGGGCTGAGTGCCAAGCTGGCCCCACCCAGCACCTGCCTCCAGGACTCACAGCGCTATTGACAGCTGCCATGTAGCTGGCGTCGGGGTCAATGTGGGCAGACGTGATGGAGACCTCGGGCTCGGGGATCAGCTGCTCGTTGTGGTCTGTTTTCAAGTCCCAGATGTGGATAGCCCCGCTCTGGTCACCCACGATGAGCTCTGCCTGGGGTGCAGGGGTGGTGAGGCAGGACCCAAGCCCAGCCCTCCAAAGTCCCAGAGTGCCTGGCCCCATGAGCACCCCTCACCTGGTTGGGGTGCAGGCACACGCAGTTAATGGGTGCGTTCACCTGGAAGATCCGCTGGCACTGCAGGTTCCGGGACCTGTGGACCGGGCCAGGGCACATGCTGTCCATCTGGGCTTGTTGGTGCCCTACCCAGATGGCCTTAGCCTGGCCACTCCTCCCCTCCCTCTGCTAAAGGACCTGCCTCTTGGGAAATACTCGAGACGCAGGGCCCTCCACTCCAGCAGGGAGCCTAAGCCAGTGGCTGGTGGAAGGGGAATAACACGCTAGCTCCGGGCTCAAGGCAGGACTCGCGCTTTGATGCAATTCACTCTCCTCCTGTCCTCACTTCTCTCACTGAGTCGCCCACAGGAAGCTCCCTATTTCAGCCTCTGCTTGGAGAGAACCCAACCTAAAATGGTCTCTCAGAGCAGCCCAGCCCAGCCCCAGGCAGCAGGCCCCTCCCCACCGCACCTGAGGTCCCAGATCCTGGCTGTGCAGTCCTCGCCGCCCGTGTACATCCAGCGGCCGTCTTCGTGGAAGCCCACAGACGCGATGTTCTTGTTGACGCCATCATAGCTGATGATGGGGTTGGGGTTATTGGAGTTGAGATCATACATGCGGATGTGCTGGTAACCTAGGGACACAGGCTGAAATGAAGCTTGGTTGTGCTCAGGTCGACCCACCAGAGGTCAGGGGTTAGAGATCAAGGGTCACAGATACCTGCAGCAGCAATCATACTGCGGTCTGGTGTGATCTCCAAGGCATTCACCTGCTGGGACTGTTAAGGAGGATGATGGGAAGGCAGCCCTGAGGACAGGGGCCCCCAGGCCTTCACCATCTGGCCTTCACCCAGGCTGTGGTCCCCACATGAGGCATCCCTCCAGCGCCGCCCTGCCCGCCCCAGGTGGAGGATACGGAGTCCTGGTGCTGCACAGTCCGGGTGCAGATGCCGCTGTGGGCCTGCCAGAAGCGCACGGTGTGGTCGTAGCCTGCAGTGGCCAGGATGACCGGGTCACTGCCCACCGTGCCTGGGGACGTGTTCATGGTGTGGCCTGCACGGGCCCTAGAGCTGAATAGCAGGGGTCAAAGGTCAGGGCATCTGCAGAGAAGGATGTAAAGTACTTAGAGGACACACTGTGCTAAACAGATTACAGACCCACGGGGCGCTGCCGAATGGCGCTTATCATTCCCAATTTAGAGTTGGGACAACAAGCGGAGGTAGGTTCAGGGACACGCGTCACACGCGTGACACCCGGCTCCGGGCGGCTCCGGGGCTCCAGGGCGCGTGCTCCATCCCCGCCCCACGCACCCGGCGGGGGCGCCGTCCCCCCCGCAGCCGACAGGGGGCAGTCACGCGCGGGCGCCACTCTGCCGCAGGGGCGGGCTGCGCGTGCGCAAGGCGGCAGGTGGGCCGGGGAAAGCCGAGCCCTGCGGCTGCGCATGCGTAGCAGGCCGGCGGCGGGCCGTGATGGGAAGGGGCGCAGTCTGGCTGGACCCCCGAGCTCCCCTGTCCTCCGCCGACCGCCCTTTCTCCGTCCTGCTGGCCGGCTTCCCCTAGCCGTACTCTCCCAGCCACCCAGCAGCCGGTTCCCGGCCCCTGGCTCGCGGCCTCGTACCTTACGGGCGACTCCGCACTCCGCTGTGTCCAGGACGGCAAGGGGAGCCGGAGCGAGTCGATCGAGGTCGAGCGTAGAGTTATCGATAACTCCCTAGGGCGAGACCATGGCGCGGGCGGGGGTGGATGGGACGAGACCAAAGTTCTGGGGCAGGGGGTTCCCGCCGGGAGGAACCCGGAGAGGTTCCTTGCGCTGCCGCGGGCCCGGCGCGAGGTGGAAGGAAGCTGCGGCTTTCTCTCTGGCCTCCTCCCCACTGGCACCTGCCCTTCTGACACGGCTGTCCGTTTCCCAGGCTGTCGGGTCGCGCCGTTCCCGTGCCCTCCCTGACCCACTAATGCGCCACGCTGGGCTAGAATTGGCTGAAAATTACAGGACTTGAGTTCAGACAACGAATAATTTTTTTTTTTAGTGTAAGTATATCCCGGACGTTGCATGGGAAATACTTATGCTAAAAAAAATTTTGCTGGGCATCCTGTAGTTGTACTCACTAGATCTGGTACCCCAGCCCCAGCCTGACCCTTGGGACATCCCACTGAGCCCAGGGTCCCCCTCAAAACCACAGGCCCTCATTCCAGCTCTGTGCGCTCCACGCTGGTGCCCTCACCCTTGAGACTGGCTCTCGCATGGTTTTTTCCCACTGCTCTTACAGATGTGACTGCACCCCTTCCTCTGGCCACAGAGGGGGTGCCTCTTGTCCCTTGACCAGGCCATAGTTCCCAGGAGCCTTCCTTCCTGTACCTTCACCTCCTCTCCTTCCTGCCCCTTAGCCTTTAAACACTATAAAGCAATCCCAGACTCTTTTCGTTAAAGAGCGGTCCTCACCATTAGACCACGTCCTCACCTCCCACTCATTCTGCAACCCCAGTCATCTGCCTTTTACCCCAGCTCTCTAGGTCTCCAGTGGAAATTCCTCAAGGCCACTGACAATCTCACTTTGCTAAATCCAGTGGATACTTTTCCTTCCTTCCTCCCACCCGTTTTTTTTGTTTTGTTTTGTTTTGTTTTTTTGAGTCGCAATCTCCCTTTCTCACCCAGGCTGGGGTGCAGTGGTGCAATCTTGACTCACTGCAAAACCTCTACCTCCCAGGTTCAAGGGATTCTCTTGCGTCAGCCTCCTGAGTACCTGGGATGATAGGCGTGCGCCACCACACCTGGCTGATTTTTGTATTTTTAGCAGAGATGGGATTTCACCATGTTGGCAAGGCTGGTCTCAAACTCCTGACCTCAAGTGATCCGCCCACCTCAGCCTCCCAAAGTGCTGGGATTACAGGCATGAGCCACTGCACCCAGCCTCCCACTTCTTTTTTTTTTTTTTTTTGAGACAGAATCTTGCTTTGTTGCCAGCCTGGAGTGCAGTGGTGCCATCTCGACTTTCCACAGTCTCCGCCTCCCGGGTTCAAGCGATTCTCCTGCCTCAGCCTCCCAGGTAGCTCGGATTACAGGTGTGTGTCACCATGCCCAGTTAATTTTTGTATTTTTAGTAGAGACAGGGTTTCACCATGTTGGCCAGGATGGTGGATGGTCTTGATCTCCTGACCTCGTGATCTGCACCCCCCCAGCCTCCCAAAGTGCTGGGATTACAGGCGTGAGCCACTGTGCCCGGCCCCCTCCCACTTCTTGACGCATCTGTGCCATGTTTGACAGCACCATGCCTGAAAGGCTGCCTTCTCCTAGCTCCTTTCTCGGAATTTAGTCTCTTTCCCTGCCTCCCTCCAAAGACTGGGGCTCTCCAGAGTTCACTCTGTGCACCCCACGAGATACTGGGGGGCTGGCGACTACTAGCTCTGGAGCTTCCAATGCTGTCCCTGTGCTGGGCCCCTTCCACTCTGTCTCCAGCTGTAATGGCCTCAGCTCCCTATTAGACACTGTCCTTTGAATGCCCCGCAGGGTCCACCACATTCCATGGCGGAGACAACTCATCCCTGAGTAGCTCCCCTTCTGTGGGCAGTGCTCACCTTGTATTGCCGCTGGGCAAGATCCGACACCTCCCCTTCCTCGCCCTGTCCTGTCCTGCCCTGCCCTGCCCTTCCCTTCCTCCCCCCCCCCTCCGCCCACCGATTTTACCTGTGACATATCTTCCTGTCCTTTCCCCTGCCCTGGCTCTAGCTCACCAGCCATCCCTCATAACAGCCTCCTTCCTTGCCCTAACCACTCTGGCCCCCTTCCAGACTGTCCTCCACAGTGCAGAATGGCCATTTATTTATTTATTTATTTTTGAGATGGAGTTTCACTCTTGTTGCCCAGGCTGGAGTGCAGTGGCGTGATCTCGTCTCACCGCAACCTCCACCTCCCGGGTTCCTCAGTCTTCCAAGTAGCTGGGATTACAGGCATGCGCCACCACCCCGGCTAATTTTGTATTTTTAGTAGAGACAAGATTTCTTCATGTTGGTCAGGCTGGTCTTGAACTCCCGACCTCAAGTGATCCACCTGCCTCAGCCTCCCAAAGTGCTAGGTTTACAGGTGTGAGCCACCGCGCCCGGCCAGAATGGCCTTTTAAAAACCTCAGTCTGAGGCCGGGCGCGGTGGCTTAAGCCTGTAATCCCAGCACTCTGGGAGGCCGAGACGGGTGGATCACGAGGTCAGGAGATCGAGACTATCCTGGCTAACGTGGTGAAACCCCGTCTCTACTAAAAAAAATACAAAAAACTAGCTGGGCGATGTGGCGGACGCCTGTAGTCCCAGCTACTCGGGAGGCTGAGACAGGAGAATGGCGTGAACCCGGGAGGCGGAGCTTGCAGTGAGCTGAGATCCGGCCACTGCACTCCAGCCTGGGCGGCACAGTGAGACTCCGTCTCAAAAAAAAAAAAAAAAAAATTAAAAACCTCAGTCTGGGCTAGGTGCGTTGGCTCACACCTGTAATCCTAGCACTTTGGGAGGCCAAGACAGGCAGATCACGAGGTCAGGAGATCAAGACCATCCTGGCTAACATGGTGAAACCCTGTCTCTACTAAAAATACAAAAAATTAGACAGGCATGGTGGTGGGCACCTGTAGTCCCAGCTACTTGGGAGGCTGAGGCAGGAGAATGGTGTGAACCCAGGAGGCAGAGCTTGCAGTGAGCCGAGATGGTGCCACTGCATTCCAGACCGGGCAACAGAGCCATACTCCATCTCAGAACAAACAAACAAACAAAAACCCCTCAGCACAGTGATTCATGCCTGTAATCCCAGTACTTGAGCCTGAGCCCAGCACAGTGATTCATGCCTGTAATCCCAGTACTTTGGAAGGCTGAGGCAGGAGGATCACTTGAGCCCAGGAGTTCAAGTCCATCCTGGACAATACAGTGAGACCCCATCTCTACAAAAAGTTTAAAAATTAGCCAGGAATGGGCTAGGCGTGGTGGCTCAAGCCTGTAATCCCAGCACTTTGGGAGGCCGAGACGGGTGGATCACGAGGTCAGAGGCAGAGCTTGCAGTGAGCTGAGATCCGGCCACTGCACTCCAGCCTGGGCGACAGAGCGAGACTCCGTCTCAAAAAAAAAAAAAAAAAAAATTAGCCAGGAATGGTGGTGCATGCCTGTGGTCCCAGCTACTTGGGAGGCTGAGGTGGAAGGTTCACTCGAGACCAGGAACTGGAGGCTGCAGTGAGCTGTGGTTGCGCCACTGCACTCCAGCCTGGGTGACAAAGCAAGACCTTTTCTCAAAACACAACAAAACAAAAACCCACAGCAAAACCTAGGAATGACGTGATCACCCCATTAGAAGCCGTCAGGGGTCCCCGTCCCTCTCCAGACTCCTGGGCCTGGCCCAGGCCCACCCTGTGGCTTCCATCTCCTCTCCATGTGATATAGTTAGGCTTTGTGTCCCCGCCCAAATCTCGTCTTGAATTGTAATCCACATAATCCCCGTGTGTCAAGGGACGGACTAGGTGGAGGTAACTGAATCAGGAGGGCGGGCTGCCCCATGCGGTTCTCATGATAGTGAGTGAGTGCTCAAGAGATCTGATGGTTTTTGTTTTGTTTTGTTTTGTTTTTTTTTGAGACAGAGTCTTGCTCTGTAGCCCGGGCTGGAGTGCAGTGGCCGGATCTCAGCTCACTGCAAGCTCCGCCTCCCGGGTTTAGGCCATTCTCCTGCCTCAGCCTCCGGAGTAGCTGGGACTACAGGCGCCCGCCACCTCGCCCGGCTAGTTTTTTTGTATTTTTAGTAGAGACGGGGTTTCACGGTGTTAGCCAGGATGGTCTCGATCTCCTGACCTCGTGATCCGCCCGTCTCGGCCTCCCAAAGTGCTGGGATTACAGGCTTGAGCCACCGCGCCCGGCCAGATCTGATGGTTTTATAAGGGGTTCCTCCTCCTTTGCTCCACTTCTTCCTGCCGCCTTACGGAGAATGGGTGCCTTGCTTCCCCTTCGCCTTCCGCCATGATTGTAAGTTTCCTGAGGCCTCCCCAGCCATGCTAAACTGTGAGTCAAATAAACCTCTTTCCTTTATAAATTATCCAGTCTCAGATGTTCTTTATTGCAGTATGAAAATGGACTAATACTCCATGCATCCTGTACTCTGGCCAGAGGAGACATGTTCTCTTTTTTTTGTTTTGTTTTGTTTTTCAGATGGAGTCTCACACTGCTGACAGGGCTGGACTGCAGTGGTGCAATCTCTGCCTCCTGGGTTCAAGCGATTCTCCTGCCTCAGACTCCTCCTGAGTAGCTGGGATTACAGGCACCCCCCACCATGCCTGGCTAATTTTTTGTATTTTTAGGAGAGATGGGGTTTCACCATATTGGCCAGGCTGGTGGATGGTCTTGAACTCCTGACCTCATGATCTGCCGCCTCAGCCTCCCAAAGTGCTGGGATTACAGGCGTGAGCCACAGCACCCAGCCATGTTCTCCCCTTTGAGCCCTTGCCTGTGTCTGGGATGCTTTTCCCTCTATGCGTTACCTGCCAAATTCCTGATTCTCAGCATCTCTAATAACATTTTCTTTTGGCTGGGCATGGTAACTCACATCTGCAATCCCAGCACTTTGAGGGACCAAGGTGGGATGATCACTTGATCCTAGGAGTTCGAGGCCAACCTGGGCAAGATGGCAAGATGACCTCTTCTCTGCAAAAAACTTTTAAAAATTAGCTAAGTGTAGGCTGGGCGCAGTGGCTCATGCTTGTAATCCCAGCACTTTGCGAGGCCGAGGCGGGCAGATCATGAGGTCAGGAGTTCGAGACCATCCTGGCCAATATGGTGAAACCCCATCTCTACTAAAAATATAAACATTAGCTGAGCGTGGTGGCGCATGCCTGTAGTCCCAGCTACTTGGGAGGCTGAGGCAGGAGAATCGCTTGAACCTGGGAGTCAGAGGTTGCAGTGAGCCGAGATCAAACCACTGTACTCCAGCCTGGCAACGGGGTGAAACTCCATCTAAAAAAAAAAGAAAAGAAAAGAAAACTTTTTGGCCAGCTGTGGTGGCTCATGCCTGTAATCCCAGCACTTTGGGAGGCCAAGGCGGTTGGATCACGAGGTCAGGAGTTTGAGACCAGCCTGGCCAAGATGGTGAAACCCAGTATCTACTAAAAGTACAAAATTAGCCGGGCATGGTGCCAGGCACCTGTAATCCCAGCTACTCAGGAGGCTGAGGCAGGAGAATTGCTTGAACCTCAGAGATAGAGTTTGCAGTAAGCCAAGATCGTTCCACTGCACTCTAGCCTGGGCGACAGAGCAAGACTCCATCTCAGAAAGAAAAGAAAAGAAAACTTTTTGTTTGTTTTGTAGAGACAGGGTCTCACTCTGTTGCCTGGGCTGGTCTTGAACTCCTGGGCTGAAGCAATCCGCTCACCTCTGTGCTGAGAGTTGAGTGATTACAGCTCTCACCACCCAAAGTGCTGAGATTACAGGCATGAGTCACCATGCCCAGCCAATACATTCTTTTTCTATGGCTAAG